CCCCATATGAAGTCCTCACGCACATTTATGAACTGAAATACTGACATCCCAAGATATTTAATTAAGAAGAAGAAGGCTCACTTGGTAAATTTGAAACTCCAGTGCGTAAATTTTCGAGCCTAGTTCCCCAGCTCGTCTTCAGACCTGAGAACTAATTATCTGACGTGAGCACCAATTGGCAACTGTGGATTACGTCAGTCTGCGGCGCCAGTAGGCGCTAAGTGCATTTCGTCCTTCCGTCGTGGTTGCTTGCGCGCGCGTTGAACTTGGGCTTGAGGCATTTACAGCTGGCGTCCAACTAGATAAGCCTGTTGATGTATTCCCTGTCTAAGTGCATTGCTTCCGGGAATCTGATGTATTTTATGTTCCTTATTTGTCTATTGGCAAGCTCAGATACATTCATTACTTAAGGGAGAGTTCACCAGGTTAGGCTGCCTGGATGGCCGTATCGTTTTTAGTGCCTTTTTATTTGGATTCTTGTGGTTTCATGCACTGAGGCACGAAATTTCGTGTATATCCAGTTTTGGAGAATAAGTGATATCACTTCCTACTAGCAGTTTAAGTTTTGCATCCTGCCCGCATAATCATGCATTATTAGGGTTGCATTTTGTGCCATAGAAGTGGAAGCAATTCCCCCTATGTTGTCGCATAAAATTACTACCTTTTCCTTTGCTGTGGCTATATACCCTATGCCACCGCTCAGCAAACAGGCAGGCTGAGTGTTCATTCTAATGCATCCTTTTCGAGGTAGATGGGTAAACCACAGGTACAATACCACCCAACCGACATCCTCCCAACGCTCGTAAAATTATAATTAGTATACGACCTGCTATATTCCAGCAGATATTTCACTAACATTGGTTTATAGAATATTTTATTAGTACACATGTGTGCACCGATCATATATAGGTTTTTGCTGTTCTTGAGCTGTCATGGGTCAATGCAAATCTCACAACCGTTGCCACATGACTACTTATGTGTTACTTACTATGTTTCAGTAACATTTATTTTATATTAGGCATTACCGGCAAACAGTGTGACTTGCAGGATGCGTATTTCTGCCCCATTAGGCGCCATCAGCTGCAGTTACC